TTATCCTTAACTGTCCCTCCCCATCTCCCAAACGACACCGCCCCCCTCCTCTCCCTCTCTCATATATATTATTATTATTATTATTTTTTTTCCAACCCAAATCTCAGTTACTAGAAAAGAAAAAGCTCATAAGAAAGTTAATATGTAACTATGGGTTGGAAATGTTAGTCAACATGACAGGCATGTGACACGAGCAGTTATTAATTAAGATGCATCATGTACATGTAAGTAGTATTTATGGTGTCCTAACTTCTAACATGGCCGAGTGGCATTAAAGACTGTCCTAACTTCCACCATGCCAGAGCACCCTCTAATTTTGCCAAGTTCTAGTAATGTGGCCATTCCCCATTCAGCTATGTGTAAGTATATATACATATATATGTCGTATGCATATTCTCGCGTGTATGAAATAATTAGGCTATATAATGTTGTACGAAATTATGGTCCATGGTTTAATGTAATTATTTTAAAGTGCTTGTGGTCCCATATACTAAATTAGTTTATGTAATTTTTTAAAAAATATTTGAATTAATTATTATATTATTTTTTATTTTTTCTTACTTTAATTTTAAATAATATATATTAATCATTATTTATTAAACATTATTAATAAATTTGTTATATATTAATATATTTTTGATAAACTTGTATATTAGATTATATGTAACATCTAACGTATAAAAAAATATAAATTTTTAATATAAAAATAATTATTTTAACTTATACAAAAAAATACTAAGATAATTGATATTGTACGATAAAATTTTCTTCTTTAAAATTGATAGCATTTTTAAAATTTTAAATTAAATTTATATATTAAGTATTATATGTTAAAATCTATTCAATAAAAAATAATCATGTGTTTGAATTAATCTCTCGTGTTCAATTCAATTATAATGTCAATGACTATCAATTATTGTCACCTTTTAAAGTTTAGATACATGTATACTTTTTATTTTCCTAATTATAATGTTAATATATTTTGACTTAAACTTTAACATATTTGTGTTTTAAAAGTGTCACACACACGTGTATATATATATATATATATAACTATCCTCTAAAATTTTAAACTATCTTATATGAAATGATAAAAAGAAATGATACTCAATTATCACAATATTGAAATTAATTACAATAATATAAAACCAACAATAATGAAATCTATAATTTGTCATATTTCTTAATTGTATAGTCAGTGTTTCCGACCAATACAATGATAACTGAGATAATTTATATTAAAATATTAAAAAATTATATTTTGTAATAAATACATAATATTATATTTTTTATTAATAATATGGTAGAATATTTAATTTACCAATAAATTTTAATATATTATATTTTTTAAACTATCAAATAAAGACTGGCACCGTCCATTTTCCTTGGACAAATAATATATTTTTCAGATTAAACAATCTAATTCCATTTAAAAAAAAAAAAAGAAATTTTGGAAGTTTATTGAATAACAAAATTTTTTTATTTATAAATAAAAAATTAAATCGAATATTTAATTTATTATTATTATTTTAATTTCAAAATATAAAAAATACAATTAATAAATAAATTAAGTAAGAGGTCAGATTGACGTAATAACTACTGGGGAAGATAAATAAATGTCACATTTATTAACGTACCAAACATGAATAGATAATAAAAATAAATAATTAAATATTTTGTCCTCGGCAACTGAACCTTAAAATTTTATTTTACTTCCAGCAAGCAAAATACCAACTATGCCCCTCAAACGTCTATATAAACTACCAACTTTCTGCAGTTGCACCTCACAAAATCATTTATAGTTTCAAGTTTCTCGTTGGCTACTACCATTTTGATGTTCCCCAGTAAGCTTAATCCCCAAATGGCCGAGGCCACGGGTGGTCGATCGGTGGGCGGCACCGAGCACAGCTGGTGTAAAGCCGTGCTCGGTGGCACCGGAATCGTTGTCCTTGCAATTTTATCGTCGAAAAAACCCGATGTATCAAATCTCGAAAATGCCCTTAAGAAACTTCAAAGTTCTCATCCAATTCTCATGTCCGAGATATATTCAAGCACATCGAACACATTTTTCCTCGCAAAATCTCCCACTCCTTACATTAAAGTAAAATCCTTCGACATCTCGTCAACCACTAAAATTCTCAAAACACATTCCAATCAAATCAATGAAAAATTATTCCGCCTGGAGATAATTATCGAACACGAACTCAACGAGAATACGTGGTACGACGGTGATCAGTCACTGAACACGAACAGTGATGTTTTATTTGCGAGCATTTACACATTATCGGAAAAGAAGTGGGTGTTTGTTATTCGAGCTCATACCGTTGCGTGCGATCGAACTACGGGAGTGTCATTGTTGAGGGAGTTATTGGCATTGATGGGAGATGAAGGTAGCGGAGGAGGGTTAGAGATGGAAATAGGGAATAAGGGGGAGGTTAATTTGGGAATTGAAGATCTTATTCCTAATGGAAAAGCTAAGAAGGGATTATGGGAACGTGGAGTGGACATGCTTGGATACTCTGTAAATTCATTGAGATTAACTAATTTGAAATTCAAAGACTCCAAATCAAATAGATCAAGCCAGGTTGTGAGATTTCAAATCAACAAGGATGATACTGAGAGAATATTTACCGTAAGTATGACTTAAATCTAATTTCGTTTTTTTATAATTACTTTATAGTACTTTCGTATAATTTTTTAATTTTTTTTAATAATTACAGTGCATTTAATAGCCATAGCCATAGCCATAGCCAGTTTTGAATAACCAGAGAATAAGCATTTAAAGCCATCAGATTTAAGAAGTAGTGCATACCTACGCCGTTGAGAGTCACAACTCGAGTCTTTCTTGTTGATTGTCTATGGCCGGCGTTGCTGACATGAATTAAATTCTGCAGGGATTGAAACAATGAGATTTTATTATTTTAATTTAATTATTTTATATGCATTGTCAATTATATAAATGATAATGAATTTGTAGGGTTGCAAGAGGAGAGGGATTAAGCTATGCGGAGTGTTGGCGGCGGCGGGGTTGATGGCGGCACATGGGCCTGGCTCCTCCGTCAAGTCCCTTTCCGATCATCACCGGAAGAAGTACGGCGTCGTTACGCTCCTCGATTGTCGTTCCATTCTCGACCCGTCTCTGTCTACACATCACTTTGGTAATTATAGTTCTTCTCTACGTACATCTAATCTACACATCAATCATTAAATTATACATACGTAGGATTTAATATACTTCAGAATTAAATCGGAGTTATATAAAAATTCAATAGAAAATAAAGGCCTAAATTGTCAATGAAATTTTTAAATTTTTTAATCATATTATTTATGTAATTAATATTTTATTTAATTATCTGGTCGTAATAATGTTAATCCTATTCATGTGCAAATTAAAATATGAAATTACCGTATTGCCCAGGATTTTACCACTCGGCCATTCTGAACACTCACGTTATGAAAGGAGGAGAAACTGTGTGGGAACTGGCGAAGAAAATGTACGCGGCATTCGAGAACTCCAAAAATTCAAACAAGCATTTGACAGACATGGCGGATCTCAACTTCCTCATGTGCAAGGCCATCGATAATCCTGGATTGACTCAGTCCTCGTCTTACGGACATCCTTCATGTCGGTCTTCGAGGACACAGTCATCGACAATTCCGACGAGATGTATTCCAAGGTCGGGATCGATGACTGCATCGGTTGCGCTTCGGTTCATGGAATCGGCCCGTCGATAGGCATTTTCGACACCGTGCGCGACGGCCGGCTGGACTGCATCTGCGTGTATCCGGCGCCGCTCCACTCCAGGGAGCAAATGCAGGGGTTAGTCGATGAGATGAAGGGAATTCTTATCGACGGTTCACAAATTAGATGAGTATTATGTAAATTCACAAACTCTCAAGCATGCATTATCTGATAAATAAAATATATTTATTTTTACTAATAAAAATTAATATTTATATAATATATCTATAAAATTAATTAATTAACCTAGTTAAGTATTATTAGTCAAATAAACGAGGAATTAGGCCCTAACAAAGAATCACGCTTAATGTTAAGGCCCAACCGAATATGTGCAACGGCAGATTCAGTTTAGTTAGAATATTCGAATATTCTGTTTTAGTGTATCCCGATAATACAAATATTATTTTTAATTAGTAAAATATTAAAAAAAAAGGCGTAAATGAGAAAGAAAGCACTTTCAATTTCAATAAATATTTTAAATTCAATTAAATCGTAAAATTTAATGTAAATTATTCAAAAGATTAATTATGTTAATTTAATTTCATTTTATAACTAATTAAGTATATATCCAACTCGTAATAGAAAATTCAGTAAAAGCAAAACTATTAACGTTAACTTCACGTCTTATCCAAAGGACTGAGGCCCATGCCGCGATCTCATCTTCAATCTTCCTCGAGAGGCGACAGGCAGCTGAATTCATATCAGAATTGAAAAAGATTTTGGATTTTTATTTAATTAGTTAATTTTGGATTATGATAAAATAAATTTCATTAATTTAAATTAATTAAAATTTAATTAATTATGTGAATTAAGTAAATTTATAATTTCTGAATAATTATCAGAATAAGGGTAAAAATTTGTCCTTTTCTTTTTCTTTGCTAGCCTGTACTCCTATAATTCATTAGTTTTTGTTATTATTGGATTATTTATTTTCTATTTCGTATTTATTTTGGATTTTTGTGCTATATAAAATGTGAGATTTTTTTTTGAGTTATTTTCAGTTATTTACTACATACAATATTCATTGTAGATTTTCTTAAAAAATATTTTTATTGATAAAAAATTAAATTGAATAATAATAATTTATTAAAAATAATATATAAATAATAAATTATCTCATTTCCTAAAATTAGTTAGTCGATTATTATTATTATTTAACAATTTTTTTTTTTCTTTTTCTCCTTGCTATTTTACTTCATTTCCTACCGGGCATCAACAGAGAGTCAAACGCCAAACCATTGTCCGGTCAAATGGGCGACCACGCCTCGAACTCACCACCCGAACCACTCGAACCCAGGGCTCGGCCAGCGGGCGGCACCGAGTACAGTTGGTGCAAAGCAGTGCCGACTGGCACAGGCATCACAGTCCTAACCCTCATCCTCTCTAAACCCCCAGACCTCTCACTTCTCCAAAATACCTTCAACAAATTCCAAAGTTCCCACCCTCTCCTCCGATCCAAGCTCCGCTTCGACCCCACCAGCAGCACCTTCTCCTTCATCACGCCGCCGTCTCCTCAAACTCAAATCCAGCCGTTCGATCTCCCATCAACGTCTCGGATCCTCCAAGCCCATCCCAATGCCCATTCCATCGATCCTCACCATCTTATCCTCGAGCACGAGTTAAATCAAAATACGTGGCGCGATAACGACAAACCGTTAGACGCGGACGCTGACATGTTCTTCGCGAGCGTTTACGCGCTGAGCGACGCGCGGTGGGTGGTGGCGCTCCGGTTTCACACGTCTGTTTGTGACCGCGCGTCCGCGGTGGCGCTGTTGAGGGAATTACTGGAGGAAATGTGCGGAGGCGGGAGTGGGGGGACAGAGGGGGAATTTGAGGGGAAGACGGAGGTTAGTTTGGGAATTGAAGATTATATACCGAGCGGAAAAGATAGGAAGGCGTTTTGGGCGCGTGGGGTGGACGTGCTTGGGTATTCGTTGAACTCGTTCAGGTTGTCTCAGTTGGATTTTTTGGACGTTGAATCGCCGAGGTTTTCTCAGGTGGTCCGTCTGCAAATGAGCGCTGATGAAACCTCGAAGCTCGTTGATGTAAGTAGCGTCTGCTCCTTTCTTTCTCTTTTCTTAACCTACGTGCATCTTCAATGTTACTGGCTTTCCAAATAGGATTCCAATAACTTTTATAACCTTTGTAACGTAGGTGTCATCTCTTTTTCTCTCCTCTCTTCGCTTTCAAAAATTACCGTGAAGGAGATGCCAAAAACTGAGTTCTGTAGCGTTAAATTATGTTTCTTATTCTCTCTTGGTTCTAACTTGTGTTTATCATGTGGCATCTACATCATTAAACGAACTATATGACTGTTAAATCAAATGCATTTAAATACTCCCAATGTGTTCTTCAGAATCAATTCTCTAATCAATAAATTTTGACTTTTAGGTTCAGACTGTATTTTCTTATAAAGAGATAGATTGGAATTAATTTTTTTTTCTAAATTTCTTAATTTTAGTCTATCGGTTTTGGTGATGTACTACATTCTGATGTGTGAGAGCACACAAAATTTAAAGAATTTTATATGAATCTCATGTTTATGATGCCTAAAAAATTCCAAATTTTGGTCAAAATGGTTTTTTTTTTTTATTAGAATAGATTCAAATGACACTTAATTTGCTCTATATTGAAATGGGATTTTTCTTAGAAAAAAACATGGGGGTGTCTTTTGATTTATTGCAGAAAAACATGAGGGTATTATGGCATCACATTATTATCATTTTGCATTGTGGTGGTCCTGTTAATGGTCAGACAAGGTAAGAAGGTATCATATCTTTATCGTGAAGGAGATCTATGGCCTTCTTGGTATTTTGTCTTCAACTCTACAAACAAAAATACTCTATTGTAGGTTAGATCAATTACTTTTTTCAAGAAAAATGTGGTTTATTTTGATTGAATTCATCTGGGTCTTTTTTTGTTTTTATAAAAGGAGTTTGAGTAAATAGTAAAACTTTTAATTGTTTGAGTTAAAACTTGAATTGGAATCCAACAAACAAGTTCAAATAATTTCATAGATTCTACCTAATATGGTGTTAGGAAGAGTTTTAGCTAAGTCGAAAGGGCAGATTTTCCATTGCTTCTGTCTGATCGGTCGAAAATAATATGCGTGCTGCCCGCTTTTCTGATACCAGGCTTACTCATTTTGGCCCGTTTGACTCCTATCATCTGAGATATGATGCCAAGTTTCTTACGTTCAAGGGCGTCCTGCTCAATAAGGAAACGTGAAGTTTGCAATTCAATTTCTCTGTCATTATAAAATTTTCTCAGAGTTTGATTCTTTTGTTTTGCTTGTTGCGTATGTAAATGATATTTTGGTTTTTCATCTCCTAGATATTTGATTATTCGCATACGATCAGTTATTAGCTCCTCGTAAATTTATTTTGACATTGAAGTGGTCTGTTCTAATTCAAAATCATCGAGTAATAGAATAACTTATTAAATAGGAAACCGAATTGACTCTAATATCCGGATATAGAGATATACCAAACGCTAAAATATTTGATATAAAAATTTAGTATTACTTCTTGAAATTAGATATTAAGAATCTATAAACCAGATTGGTTAATTAATTTTAGCATTCAATGTCTCAAATTTTGCAGGGTTGCAAGACAAGAGGCATTAAGCTCTGTTCAGCCATAGCAGCTGCTGGTGTGCTTGCAGCACATGCCTCCAAGCATCTTACCGATAGCCAAAAGGAGAAATATGCCGTGGTGACCCTCATGGATTGCCGGCCGATCCTTGAGCCAATTCTCAGTAACAATCATATTGGTAAAAACATCTGTTGAATTTTGAAACAAAAATTAGTTCTTCCAACAGGTTATTTGTTTAAAAAATTGTATTATCTTATACATCATTGAAGAACTTATATACTCTAAGCTCTGACATATTAACAAAAGCTAAACACCCTTCTTATTAATATTTTGAATGCTTTTTTGTCCAGATTTGATTTTTTCCGAGTAGGGTTAATGCCACGTTTCCTTGATTCTTCCAGGTTTTTATCATTCTGCAATACTCAATACACACGATGTAACGGGAGACGAACAACTATGGGAGCTAGCAATAAGATGTTACACCTCCTTCAACAATGCCAAGAAATATAACAAGCATTTTACTGACATGTCTGACCTCAACTTCCTCATGTGCAAGGCCATTGATAACCCGGGTCTAACTCCATCGTCATCCTTGAGAACTGCCTTCATCTCCGTGTTTGAGGAGCCCGTTACTGATGAATCCAGCGAAAAGCATCGAGAGGTCGGCCTAGAGGACTATGTTGGTTGCTCGTCTGTCCACGGAGTTGGCCCCTCCATTGCTGTCTTTGACACAATTCGCGATGGGAAGTTGGATTGCGCATGTGTGTATCCATCTCCGTTGCATTCAAGAGAACAGATGCTGGGACTGATTGATAGTATGAAGAAAGTTCTTGTGGGTGCTGGTAACCTCGTGGAAAATGGGAAGAATTTCACAACTACTTAATTGTACTTCTTAAGGAAAAAAAAAAAAAAATGGAACGGTGAATAAGTGAGAGTATAATTTGGTTCACATAAAACCAGAGTAATTTATCTTGAAGAAAATAAATGAAGTATTTCTATCAATCTGCAAATCTAAATCTTTTACCAGTTTATTGACTTCAAATTTTTGTTGAGACACAGAGAATAATTTAATAAGTTCTGAAAAAAATATATACACTAATTTTTATGGGCTAAAACTATTCCTCACCAACAAATGAAAATAAAAGATTCTCTAGTTCTATCATCTAATCAAACAAACTCTTCGACTAAATCGCCAAAATCAAACTTGGCATTACATTCAACAGCATTTACAACCTCTTGAAAAGTAGGGACAGTACAGGGAACCACAAGCCCATTCCTCTGCTGAAATCCAAACTCATTGCAAGACTTTTCAAGCAAAATCTTGAACAATGGGTGTGACAAAAAGCTTGTCGGCACAACAAATCTCTCCCTTTCTTCCCCCACATACACCGCAAAAAACCCTACTGGGGTATTACAACTACTTCTTTCCACCTCATCAAACTTCCCAAGCAAACATTCATTCACTTGAGATTTCTCTTCTCCTCCTCCTCCTCCTCCTCCTCCTCCAATAACCTTCACCTTCTTCGCTAATTTCTTCAACGACACCATCTTCTTCCCCAACATTCGCCATGTTTCCCGAGCTCGATCAACCCAATTCGAAAACGAATCCTACCCACCCTAATAACTTCAAGTTTGAGTCTCCAGAATTCTACACTCTTTTCATAGGAAGAAAGGGACGAGAGAAAGTGATCGAAAGAGAAAATTGGTTTGTGGGTTGGGGAAGAATTTGCGTGTTATATATGTACGTGGATGGATGCATATAAGGTGTTGAGAAATTGGGTAGAGGAGGAGAGAATGTCAAAAGAGATGTTGGTCGTAGTTGGACTTGTGGAGATCGTAATAATAATTCTATGAACGGAGAGTGAGTTTCATTTGTCATCACATTCATCGTCTTAATTATTTTGTCTTGTTTGTTTTCTGGATTCCTATTTTTCAAAGGCGTAGAATAATATCAGTTGTGGGGGTGCACTTACTTCGACCGATGGACTTGATCTCCACCTTTTCTTGGTCAATAACACATTAAAAAAATATTTCAAGTAATTAATTATTTCTTGCTTTATTAGTAATAAATTATAATTATCGTGATTGTCTGTAAATTAATACAACCTTAAAAATTCATACATGACTTCAAATTTAAAGTGATTATTTAATGTGCTGTGTGTAATAAAATTCAGTGCATAAAAAAGTCCACCGAAACTGTTTCCAAATCATACCTTTAATAATAAACACTAAGATAATTGTTTAGTGATTAAATTTTTTTATATTTTATTTAAAATTATAATAATCACTTTAAATTTAGTTTTAAATAAAATAAATATTTTATGACATCAAATGTAGTTTTGGGATTTAATTAATTAATTATTTGACTTAATTAATTGGAAAAAGTGTTATAACTTCCTAACATTATACTAAATTTAAGTTAAACAATATACGCTAATCGAAATAGTCAACGCATCTCATCATCGTCCGAAGACACAACGTGTGGTGATGAAAGAGTAAGATAAACACAAACCGAATACATAACGTACAAAAAATTAAAACCAAAAATAAAAAAGAAGCCGGCACTCTATTTATAACAAATTAAAAGATGTATATACAAAATTTTATATTTTTCCAAAACCTTGATTAAATTATTTTCATGAATAACATTGAAATTATTATTTATATGTATTTTATAATATACGATTTTAAAGTGAAATTAAAATTAATATTTTTATATATTTTATTAAAATAAATAAACAAAATTGAAGATCAATTAAAGGGTAGAGCTCTAAATCGAATACTAAATAATTTTAATTTATTAATTAAAAAAAATAAAGGAAATGCGAAATTTTCATTTAGTTATTTATTTTTTTTTTTTTTTGGTACAATTAATATACTTTTGGTCCGCATAAATTATGAATTATTATTTTTTTTAACTTGATATGTAGATTAGATTTATCCACACCCATCATGGTTTTTATACCAAATTTTATTAAAAGTGTGTGTATATATGTGTGCGTGTGCGTGTGCGCGCGTGTGATGATGACGTCATCAATTGTAAGATTAAAAATGAGAGGAAGAATAATTGGTTTTAAATGGAGTATGAGAATGGAATGGTTGACCAACTGGAGTGCTTCTTATTCCACAACCAAACAAGCCATTTGCCCTTCTTCGGCCGGAACGAAATGCATTGAGGAAAAGTTGACCGTTGACTTTAAGAGTCGTAGCCTCAAATTTCTACCCAAATCAAGAAAGACTTGGACTATTTTTTATTTCAAATTTTTTTAGTTAAAGATCTTTTCAATCTAATTTTTTTATATTTTAATATTATTTTTTAATAATATTATTAATTTACTTACAATAATTAAACTTATATTATTGACGTGTCTCGTACCCAATTTTCTCTCTCGAACGATCTTCTCGTATTGCATATATATATATATATCTTGCATATATGCATATATCTTAGCTTTGATTTTCGGAGACTAAAAGTAGGAAAATTATGATATTTTCATGTAAACTTACTCACTTATATATTAAGACATCATGTTTAATAGAAAAATCAACTCTTATTCACAAAACCTTGGTGCAAACTTAACATGGTATCAGAGCATTTGTAAACACTTTATCCGTCAACAGCTCTCCGTGTTCCCAAAATCTTGTCCACTATTTTTTTCTGTATAAATTTCTAAGCAAACAACATTAGTTCCCATGTCATCCGGCAGCAAAACTTCCAACAAAAGGTATGTTGTTACTGATCTAACTTCACCATATTACTCACCACATTTGGCTCTTCCAGGTACCTCTCTCATGTCAGTAAAATTAAAAGGAAAAAATTATGCCACTTGGGAACAGGCAAAACTTATGGCATTAAAATCACAAAATAAACTCTGCTTTATTGATGGATCAATCGCAAAACCGGATTTTTCGTCTCCAGACCATAAAGCCTGGGAA